CTGATAGCTCAGTTGGTAAAGACTCTGTCTGCAACACAGGAGTCCCCGGTTCAATTCCTGGGTCAGGAAGAATCCCTGAAGGAGGGATAGGCTACCCACTCCAGTATTCTGGCCTGGAGAATTCCATGGACTGTATAGTCCATGGGGTTGCAAAGAGTCAGACATGGCTAAGCAACTTTCACCATATTAAGCATATACATAGTGGAGTTGATAGACCAGTCTGAGCAGTTTTATCATTATGTGTATTATAAGAAGGTAGATGCAATCATTTGAAACATTTTTAAACATAATTTGTAAAAAATGTTGTTAGTTTATGTGTTCAAGGAAGAATATCCCAGGTCCACGTTATTTTTAATGACCATTTATGCCAACTTTCAGAAATGCATTTTCAAGGTTTACCCATTTGTCTTGTATGGCAGGATTTCCTTCTTTTTTAAAAGGCTAAATAATGATCTATTGTATGTTTATACCACATTTTCATTATCTTTTCACCTGCTAATGGATATTTAAAGTTGCTTCCATATCTTGGCTATTGTTAATAGTGCTGCAATAGACATAAGAGTGCTAATATCTCTTTGAGATCCTAATTTCAACTATTTTGGGTAAATTGTCTGGAAGTGGGACTGCTGGATCAAATGGTAATATTACGGCAGGAGAAAGAAGCCAGTCACAAAAGGACCAGCATCACATGATTTCACTTACATGATAAGGTATCTAACACAGTCAGACTCAGAGGAGCAAAAAATAGAATGGTAGTTGCCAGGAGTTGGGAGAGGGGGAGGGAGAGATGAAAAGTCACTAAATCTACATGTGTGAAATTTTCAATACGCAAGGTAAGTTCTGAAGATCTAAAGTACCAATATGTTGTGCCAATAGATAACAAGATTGTATTATACACTGAAAAATCTATTAAGAGGGTAGACCTCATGTTGTCTTCCTCACAAAATTTTAAAAACAGTATAAAAAGCATTTTCTTTTCAAATAATACCTAGCAAATAATAATAATGCATTTTCTGAAATTAATGAGACTGTTCTTACTTTAGGACACCTTTGAAATACTGTGTTAACAAATCGGACTTCCAGTGCAGCTTAGTTGTCCTCGGAGGATACTGCAAAGGCTGTGGCAGAGCAAAGAATTCTGTGCTTACTAGTGATGACCTCCACAGCAGTCGTACTGACATTTCTTTTTTTTTCTTCTTCTGCAGTTTCTTTTTTTTTTTTTTTCATTTATTTTTATTAGTTGGAGGCTAATTACTTCACAACATTGCAGTGGGTTTTGTCATACATTGACATGAATCAGCCATGGATTTACATGTAGTCCCCATCCCGGTCCCCCCTCCCACCTCCCTCTCCACCCGATCCCTCTGGGTCTTCCCAGTGCACCAGGCCCGAGCACTTGTCTCATGCATCCCACCTGGGCTGGTGATTTGTTTCACTATAGATAATATACATGCTGTTCTCTCAAAACATCCCACCCTCGCCTTCTCCCACAGAGTCCAAAAGTCTGTTCTATACATCTGTGTCTCTTTTTCTGTCTTGCATATAGGGTTATCGTTACCATCTTTCTAAATTCCATATATATGTGTTAGTATGCTGTAATGTTCTTTATCTTTCTGGCTTACTTCACTCTGTATAATGGGCTCCAGTTTCATCCATCTCAATAGACTGATTCAAATGAATTCTTTTTAATGGCTGAGTAATATTCCATGGTGTATATGTACCACAGCTTTCTTATCCATTCATCTGCTGATGGGCATCTAGGTTGCTTCCATGTCCTGGCTATTATAAACAGTGCTGCGATGAACATTGGGGTGCACGTATCTCTTTCAGATCTGGTTTCCTCAGTGTGTATGCCCAGAAGTGGGATTGCTGGGTCATATGGCAGTTCTATTTACAGTTTTTTAAGGAATCTCCACACTGTTCTCCATAGTGGCTGTACTAGTTTGCATTCCCACTAACAGTGTAAGAGGGATCCCTTTTCTCTACACCCTCTCCAGCATACTGACATTTCATCCATGCCTCCTGCAAGCTCCTCTTCACCACCAGACAGAACCAAACTGAGTCTTCACTACATTTTTCTATTTTATAAAAAATCCTTCATTCTGGGACCTGGTAACTTTGCATGGGTGGAACACTGGACCCAAGGTTTAATTTCACTTAGGCCTATGAAATGTAAGAGCTAGGAGTAACCTTGTCATTTACATATTAGGAAATGGAAGCCTTTGCAATTACCCAGAGAAAAATCCACAAGCATTTATGACACTCATCCTGGTTAGTTGTATTTCTAGGGCAAAGTTGTGACTTTCTGTTCATTATATACAATTTTATATAAAGAATAAAAGTAGGCATTAAGGAGATTCCTTCATCCAGGAAAGGTTTTATGTAATTTAGTCTAAATACTCAACCAACAGCAAGGAACCTTGCTATAGCCACAAAAGGTATCTGATACACTTGGAATTCCAATTGTCTACTATATTCTTATTCCTGCTTATCCAAAGCCAAGAGGACTTTTTTTTTTTAACTTTTTTACAAACTTGGGAATAAAAAAAATAATACATTCTAATCAAGGCACAGTGAGCAAGTTCTTATAATTGAAAACCAAGTGTTCAGATACTGATACTAATTTATACAGGGATGTCAGCTTGTCACATTGAACTGACCTTGCAAATCAGCTCACATCATGTAGTCAGAAATTGTTTCTTAAGGGAAATTTCATGATTAAACATCTAAGAATAAGTTACATATGTCTGTGTTATTTAGTCCAAGTCTAAGACTTCTATAAGGATTCAGTTGACATGATTCCCACTGCTCTGAGGTCCATTTACTATATTCCATGCTCAGATCTGATCTACTGTCCATGTTTTCAGTTTTTTTTGTTCATTTTGTTCATTTTTTGCTCACCAATTTCACTTCATTTCAGTATTTATACAAGTAGTTGCAAATGGTGATTCTATCATACCTATCTTAGCTATAAATGAAGGCAACACTCTCAAGTACAGAATTTTAAAAGAAATAATATTTTTGATATTTTTGAACTGAGTCAGATTATATTCATTGCATAAAGTCCAAGAGAGTATTGCAAACAATAGATCTTCTCTGCATTAAAGTACTTTAGACACAGAAAAAGCTGAATTCTAAAAAAAATTATTTTTCCTTCTTAACATCCATCACTGAAATCAGCAAGAATCTGACAATAACTGACAACATCTTTCTTCTTTCTGAAAAGTACATATTATAATGGTGCCTCCCACATTAATAACATCCTAGGTTCAATAAAATATGGGGTTCTAAGCCCTTTCTTGTAGAGAAAACCAAACCCAAAACCAACAGCAATCTTCTTTGATGAAAAACAGCAATGCACTTAAAATCATATGAATTTGTAAAAAATAAGTAATAGCGTCTATTCTTAACTACACAAATATTTAAATACACATGTACATATCAGGTATAGTTGAGGACTCTTCTGATCCCCCTTCAAGACCTCTAAAACTCACTTTCACAGATTTTTAAAAATCAGTTTTATAATTATTTTCCCATTTGTTTGTACCTCTTTTTCAATAAGACAGCACACATGCATATACCCAATACTTGGTGTAAATTTCAATTCCCACTCAGAGCAAAAGCAAGAAACACATCTCTTTTTTCCTCTCTTTTCATCGCTTACATTCCCAGTTGCCTCAGAGATGGTATAACATGTATAAAATAAGCTAATCACATTTTTTAGGTTTTTTGGAACAGAGAAGTTAGATGCTGTCAGTTAAGGTATTAGCACAGTCATACCCTGATCCAATATAAAAAGGAAAAATGGCAGAGAAAATTTAAAAATAAAAAGTATAAAAGAACACGAGAAAAAACTCTACCAGTAGTATTTTATTTCATAATGCAAATAAACCTTTCTGTCATCATGAGCATTGACATATGTACAGTTTGAGAAGGATGAGAGATAGACTCATTTCATTTAATCTCCAATGACTGACCAATAAAAGAAAGAAAGAGACATTCCTACAAGCAGTACCTGACAGCCTAAACCATCATCAGCAAGCAAAGCTAGTTTAAAAGCAAGGTTTAAAAGACCTAAACAGCTTTCCAAAGTCTTTGGTTAATTCTTTGTATTAATGTTTATATATCTTCTCCTGAATTATAAACACTCTTTGTCTTGACATTTAAATTGTTTACTATTAGAGGTTTAATTTTCTCTTAGTCACTGATGAAATAGAGTCACCAGAATGTAGAAAGAACACTAGCGACTAAATGTTGAGAAAATGCTTTTTTATGAAATATTAGAATACATTACTGTTTACCTGTCTGTCAAGGAAACCAAGTCAGAATTAGTAGATTTGTTCAACTCTTCAACAAAACATTTCCCAAGAACCATGACCTCAACCAACATCATTCTAAGATAAACAGCCCGTGGAAAAAAGTAAAATATATTTTTAAGTAAAATATATGGCAAGGCCTTAAATCCCATAAAAGATACCATTTTATATTCATCCAGGAAAATAAATTAAGCCCCAAGGTAAAAACTATCAATTACTGTCATTTCTTTGTTGCACTCAAAGTGTTCAATTATATCACAAAAAATTTTAGGAAGTACTCATTTAGTTAAAATATGAAATCTTCAAACTACCTGTAGCTCTCCCTAGCTCGTACATTAGCATATTTTCCACCAAAATAAAGTCCCTTCCCTATGTTCACCAACAACATGCATGACAGATGTGAGCAGGACCATCAAAGCACTTTCTACTCTTGTTTTCTCTTTCTTCTTCCTTACAAAATGGTATGACATTCTTATTTTAGACATATGTACCCTTTAGTATCATGCTTAAGAATCTGGACAATATGATGATTCATTATGAAAAGCAGTCATGCTGTACATTGATGAATTGACAAAATGATGTCTATCATTTAAAGGAGAAAATGTAATTGAGACTTTAAATTCCAAATAAAATACTATAACTCAAATGACACTGACTAGCTGTGAGCTTCTAGAAGTCACCCACCTGGGGCAGCATGCGATTTTCTTCCTCCAGCTGTCTTACTCTTGCCTCCAGCTGCCTAACATAGGACAAGGTTGATTCTAAAATTGAAAAGAAAGAACTCACATTATACACACAGGTCTTGTTTGGTACACTGTCAGACTACTTCTGGCTCCATTTATTTAAATCAGGTAGTGACTACTTAGTCTGATATTTAGAAAAAAAGATCTCTCCCCAGAAAAACTATAACAGAAGCCATTAAAACTCTAAGCGGTTTGAACAACTGCACAATGTTAAGGAGAATCAGAGAAATATATAGGTGGTAAGATTGTAGGCGTCTGTACACCATGCAGCCTTCAGAACATTAGACATTTTGAAGATAGTTATTCCCCCTTTTCTACTTATTTTGTGCATTTTGAGCTTTCCCATGCATAAGCCTTCTTGTAACATTCATTATAACCAAGCTAAATTACAAGGTCTTTTAAAAAATTGAAAATAAAATATTTTGAATACCCAGATACCTTCATTTTCTCAATAAACTTTTCAAATATTAAGAGGAATGGTTTGTTCTTCTCACAAATCTATAGATACCTATGACCGAATCTAGAGAACAGCTACAAAAGGGCTAATAAAGCTAGTCTCAATTTTGACTTGATTTTGGCTCAAGTTTTTCCCTATTTAGATAAATCAGGGCAGACTTGAAATTTGTTTTCCTTTCTTCAACAAGCTCAGGTGTGTGCTGACAGCTCAGAATCAGCATCATGTTAGTGTCTGTTCCATAGTGAAACTCTAGATTTTATAGCTTTACATTATGAAAATGCGGTCCACATGTGGAAAAAGGTAGAGTTTTATTCTGAGCAACCATTTGACAGCAATGCTTTTTCATTAAACCGAAAATAATCCAGAGCACAGCATCATACTGCAACATAGCTGGAATTCATTTCTTAGCCAAGAGCAAACATACTTCAGGTATAGTGAAATGTACATGACCAAAGAATCCCTCCAGAGCACACTTACACAATTAATATTGAGGCAACAGATCCTCAGTACATGTTCTTCAGCCTCAAAAATACAAAAGAGTAAGAGGCAAGGCCAAGTTGGTAGTGGACTTAAGAGGACAGCATTTGAAGCCCCTGATAGTCTGCACTTAGGATGACTATGTGTGCAAATGAATACCTTGACCTGAAATTTGTCATGGAAACTCTATAATTTTTATATGAAAATTGGTTATATGAACCCAGTTCCATTTTGTGACCTCCAAAGCAACAAAATAACATTTTATTTTCTTAAAACACATAAGAAATTTCAGTACTTAATTCACAACATAAAAATTAAACTCACCCCTAACTGGTTTATAGCCTGTCTGTTTTCAAAAATGTTTGCAGAAGTCCCCATCACTAACATTAATAGAACCATCCACTGATCTCACACCAATGGTGATGACTTGCCTTGAGCATTTCTCAACAAGACAGAAGAAACACAAGGTAGAGGAAACTGGTGACATTTGCTAGAAATATGTTCTCATTCTTTTTTAGTTCAATGAAATGTTACGTGTTTGTCTTCCGGACTGCAAGAGGGGAAAAAAGTGTCTGGTATAAATGAATAACAAACTTACTGATTTCATGAATCTGTTTTACTCTAGCAAATGAATAAGTGATTTGCTGATCATCAAAATGTGAATGTATAACAGATTCCCTGATTTACACAGTTCTACAAGCTCCCCTCTTTAAAAAAAAAAAAAACTTAATAAATGCCATTGAAGTGAAAAGGTGCCCAGAAACAGTCTATGTAAACCATGAACAGATACAATCCTTTTATACTTTGTTCACAATTTATACCCTATCTTTATTGTACTTACTGCACTATCCTTAAGGCTAAAGTACTGAAAGGAGCTATACAGAGTGATTTAGGTGACAGTTGAAATGCTACTGAATTTTAACTCAATAACTATCTTCAGTCGCTTTAATCTATGTCTCTTCTTTAAATCTTTGTAGTTTACATATTTGATGACTCCATTAAGTTTCTACTTACATTACGAAAGGCATATCATGTCAATTCCAAAAAATGGGAAATTCCTGAATTTGGAAAACATTCCTTAACTGCAATTTTTACTGTCAAGTTACAACAGATAAATTCCAAATATTTGTTTCAAAGCATTCACTGCAAATATGGGCAGGGACAGGAAATGATAGGGAATATTTTCAGACAGGCAACGTAATGAGACAAGTTAGCTCTACAGTAAAGGCAGAGTTAAGGAAAGTCTCGAGTTCATTTGTTCCACACAAGTATTTACTGTGTCACTGATGTCCATCAAGGCACTCCTGGGGTTGGGATGGAGAGAAGGCCAGTTATTGGAAGTCTTAAGTTTCTCAGAATGCAGACTCCATTTTAAGATTACATCCCCATGTGCTGTGTTCCAGAAGGTCCTGTTCTTCCAGGTTCAGTTTCTGTTGCAATTATTACTTAACAATGAACGGATACAACGAATGGAAAGACTCCTCATGTGTGTGTGTGTGTGTATATGTGTGTGTGTGTGTGTGTATGGAGGAAGAGGGGACAGGAAGAATAGCTGATCTGCCTAAATAAATACAAGAATTCACACTGTTCACTGTTTAGTTCATCAAGAAATTGGTTATATACTGGTTTTACATGGGAGTAGAGCAGGCATACTTTTTTCTGGAATATACTAGAAGATAATCACTGAATCCCTGAGTCCCTATATGCAGAGCTATTGAGGAACCATTCAATCTTTCAATTGTGACATGACAGAAAAACAAATATTTGTTTTGTTAAACCTATACAACTTCAAGATTTGTTACTGCACCATAGGCTAGCCAAGCCTGACTACTAGTACATAACCAATAATGGTACAGAAAATATGTAAACATTTTAATAAAACATAAAAGGATAAAGTGTAAGAAATTCCACTTCAAGAAATACATCACAATCCACATCCCAGTCCTAGTTGACCATTAGAAAAAAAAAAGATAAAATCTTTTAAGAACAAAAAAGAGCCCTTTGTGTGCTGGAATATATTTGACCATGTCTGCGACAGTCCCTTCCGCAGGCTGGACTTCCCTTCCTTTCTCAAGGACCTTCCAGAGTGGTGTCAAGCTGGTCTTTCATTACACCCAGGGAGTGTGGAGTACAGCTGTACTCCCAAGAAAAGTATATGACAGAAATAAGTGTTCTTATTATAAAACAATACATACATGCATGTGCATGCACACACACAACTGCATTAAAACATGCTATCATTTAAACTGATGGCTACATTTATACCAGTGGCTGACAGCTGTTAAAACAGATTTCAGGGTGTCATTTTTAGCTTTCAGAACTGTGAGGATGAGGTTCCAAAGGAGCAGCAAGATTCCCTGCAGAAAATAGCCAAATATGAGGCTATACATAGATGTCCCACATATTAAAGAAGGATGCTATCTTCAAGGAGTGTATAAAGAGTTGAGGGGAGATAAGGAGGGGAAAAAATAAAGCAATAAGGTAATGATATTCTGAGCTGAATCATGTGAAACAGGAGTACACAAAGATCAATACTGTCTGTGGTTCTTCTGAAGAAACCTCACTAATGGATCAACAAGAGCTTCAGAGATCAGACAGAAGCCAGTGAAGTCACAGGATGGACAAGAATGATCCTGCTATAAACAAGGGAGAGAGAAGGAATGCACATGAAAGAAGAGAAGGGGATATACTGGGAGCAGACAGAGAAGAAGCCAGGTACGTCCCACTCTCATGGATCTGAAGAACCAATGTCAAATCACAGATATGCAGATGGTGAGATTTGCTTTTTACTTCCACCAAGGGCATTTTCTATTTCCACCCTGGGAAATCTACAGACATCTACACATTAGAAAAGCTAGGTGAAACAAACAATATCACTGTGAAATTCTAATGACATTCTCAGGATTTTTTTGGCAAATCTTGATCACATTTTCAAGGCAGAAACCATTCTCTCTATGTATCTCACTCTTTTTTTTGAACCTATATGGAACATGAGTTCACAGTATCTCTTGCAATAAAACAAGTCTAAGAAACAGTCATAAGAATTCCACTAATAAACATCTTCTAATTGATTCCACTTTTAGAAATGAAATATACCTAAGTGATTCCCTAATCTAACCTATCCCTAATCCCGACTCATTTGGCAGATGAGAGAATAAAGCCCAGAAGCTAGTGAATTTGGCCTCTGACACTGGGGATTAGCTACATACATTCAAAAGATTTTGTTTCATTCCTGGGCATCACAGGGATTCCCACTGCGGATCTTCTAATCACTGAGATGTCAAGCTTCTCACACAGATCATTGAATTCTAACTTCTTTTATTTTTTCCTGATTTTAGATATCCTGGATGGACTTTTACCTTTAAAATAACTTGATATTCTCCTTGGACAACATCCGGGACTTGATTTCCCTTCAATTTACCTGAAATGCATGCAGTCATATAAAGTAGCTTGACTTTTTTTTTTTTTTTTCTCTGCTAGTTTGAAAATACCCTGGTCAAAATATTAAACCCTCTAATTTCCCCCTTGGTTTCTAAAGTGGTGTTTCTCTCCCTGGAGGATTCCCATCCATGAAATCAGCCATGAGTTCCTCTGATCATTGTACCTAAAAGGTTTACTGTTGATATTTGCAACTGTCTAAGGTCTGTCAAACGTCTAAGTGGTTTTGATTAGACAAAATGCCATCTGGTCTTTAAGATTTCAGGGCAAAAAATAAAATTTGGTAATGGTCCATTCTAAAACACATTACAGCATTTGGAAGGATGTGCAGGAGGAAAGTCATCTGGAAGACTTTTGCTGCTAAGACAGGCCTTAGCATTTCTGAGGCTAAGTTAGTCTCCCTCAGCCAGAGAAAGTCTAACGGCCAGATGATTTCAAATCCGTAGGCAATCTCTTTAATAAACCCCAAACTCTAAAGACACTCCTTGAATTAGTTCCAAATTAATCCCACAATCCACAGGCTTTTACATATTCCTGAGGGAAAGTCTTCAGAACTATATATTTTAAAAATTATTATGATTCTAAAAGTGTTACTCTTTCTTCCTCAGGCAAGCAAAGTTCAGCCTCCTACTTAAGAATTAATATT